CTGATTTAAAACAGTCAAATTTTATTGGAATCAGTCGAGCTCATCCAAGCCGAAAGGAAAAGAAAGTTGGAAGATATAAAAAGGTGCTTGAGAGCACAGCTTCACACACGAGCTTAATATTAATTTTTCAGGTCAGCATTTTTAGTACCTATGCTAGAAGAAAAATATGTACAAAAATAAAAACACCCGACCGAAATATAAAATCGAACTAAAAAGATGAGAACCAATTGACGAAGGAACAAACTAAATCTGCAGTGTAAGTCGGCTAAAAATAACTTATGTATATGATTTAAGGCCAGTGATACCAGTATTTAGAAAAAAATACTTACTGAATTATACTATGAACTTACAATTAAAATTAAGAAGACAGTGAGCTGTCATCTTGACAATTAAAATTTTTTTTTAATTACCACGCTTTTTATTTGCCAACACAACACTATAAGATGTGATTAAAAAAAATATCAACATTTTTTTTAATATGTTATTGTTTCTGCCATGCGACATTCTATGTCGTGAGAATTTTGATACAGATCTGTGGGTTTTCTTGCACATATGTACGTTAGCAAATACGATGGTATTGTATGTTTATTTTCTAACTCTGGCCGAATTTTGTCCATATTAAAGAAAATGTATAAGAATCCATATTACTTACTAATATTTTAACTGTTAAAGTGTGTTTGTTTGTTTGTCTGTCTTTTTCGTCTAAACGGAGTGACGAATTGGGGTGATTTTTTGTATGGAGACAGTTGGAGGGCTCTACAGTGACATAGGCTACTTTTTATCGTGTGAGATCATCTCATTCCCACGGGATAACACGTTATAATAAAACCCGAAAAGATATTTATGATTAGAATTACTCGAAAACTTGGTATTAATGCTCTTCAATACAATCAAATAAACAGTTGTTTTAGCGTTTTTCAAAATTCATCCCATAAGAGGGTAAAATAGAGGATGAGGTTAAGCGCGAGCGAAGCCGCGGGTTCTGCTAGTATTGCAATAAGTCTTTAAAATTACGCGAGACTCTACAAATACAAAGTTATCTAGAAAGTCATATCTCATTTAATATACTTTAATGTGAGTTTTCATCAAACGTCAAAAGAAAATTGCATTCCTTTGAAAGAATTTTTTTCTTCTATTTAGTTATGTAGCGATGCATTAAAATCAAGGGTTTTTCGTGTGGAAGCTTTACTTTAGAGTTTGCGTCATATTATTCTATAGAGTGAGATTTTGTTTGGTAATATAACATGCTCGTATTTTCCCGCGGCCCCGCTTGCGTGTTTCAATTATGTATTGCTACATCTTCAAAAGTTATAGTATACTAGCATTGCCCGCGGCTCCGTCCGCATTCAGATGACCAAAAACCAAATTTTTAGGTCTTACATATTAGTATACTATATTTACATGGCAGTTTTTTGTATTTTTTCTCAGAAATTAGATATTTTGCCGCAGTAAAGAGTATCCTATATGACCCGGATAACCAGCTACCACCATACCAAATTTTATATATAGTCATCGTCACGAGCATAGAATTTACTCCTTTAAATTGATTCTAAACTTTTCTTTGACATACCAACATTTTTTTTTTAATATTTGTCAATGACCTTACTAAAGCTAAGGCCTAAATCCGTTATAGTTTAGAAAAATCTAAAACAATATGCATTCATTCGCTAAGTCGTACCGAGCGCGTCCGGTCAGCTGTGAGCCGGCATCTGGCGACTGACGTCGGATCGTGCATTACTTTTATAAGAACATCTGTCAAAATTGCATGCCTCAGCCATCTGTCGTAATTAAAATCTATACATATAATAAAATGGTAACTAAGTCGAATCTGTACATTAAATATTTTTTGGAAAATCTCATTGAAATAGACATTATTATCGATACAGAGGCCGAATCTATAGTTTTTAGAATATTGTCTATCTGTCTGTCTGTTACCGCATCACGGAAAAACCACCGGAGGGATTTTGATGAAATTTGGTATGGTGATAGCTGGTTGTCCGGGTCAACATATAGGATACTTTTTACCGCAGGAAATATCTCATTTCTGAGAAAAAATACAAATACTGCATTGTAAGAGTATACTAATATGTAACACCCAAGAATTTGGTTTTTGGTCATCTGAACGCGGGCGGGGCCGCGGGCAATGCTAGTTTAAAATAAAAAAGAAATTATTCTAACGATTTAATTATAAAAGAATGCAATTTATTTCGCTTTTACAAGTGGAAAACTGTCTGTTTAATTTTGAGCAAACGTTTTTCGTAAAAGCTTATTCGTTTATTTTTTTAATTACTGAACACCTTGTACCTAAGACTTTAAAATTTATAAATATTTATAAGAGTAAGATTGTGATTTTTTGTTAAAATTTATGTAAGACTAACCACCCACCATCGCTCCTTAGTTACTTTTTAGCATAGGTTTCTCAGAGATGAGATATTTTCTCGCATTAAAAAGTATCTTAAATTGTTGATCCAGATAACCAGCTATCACCTTACCAAATTTCATCAAAATCTCTCCAGTGGTTTTTTGTGATGCGGTAACAGACAGACAAACAGACAGACAGACAGATAAAAATTTTGAAAACTATATATTCGGCCTCTGTATCGATAATAATGTCTATTTCAATAAGACTTTCCAAAAAATATTTAATGTACAGATTCGGCTTAGTTACAATTTCATTATATGTATAGAAAAGCTATATAAAAAGCTACACACGTATTACCCGAAACTACCTTTCAAATTTTATTTTAGCCTTATAGCTTCAATAATCTCGGAATAAATGACTGAGTCAAACGCACAGACTGACTTGAAATTATTAGGTCTCCAGTTTTGTCTAAGGAACCCTAAAACGTACATATTTTTTTTAAATCTGCTATCTGTCGTATATCTAAAATGATGCGTTCATTTTAAGTAATGCTTCGCAAACTTTTATGGCCGCTTTTAAACTGGTTTTGGTTGAATTGATTAATTTATACGTTAGTTCGAGAAACGTTTTTATAATAATAATTAGCGAAATATTTATGAATCGAATATGGATCTGATTAGTGGTAAGTTTTTGACGTTGTTTCGGTTTGGATTTGCCAATAATTGGACTTAGTTATGCAAAAAACAGCCATGTGCGTAAAAGTACCAACAGAGTTATAAGCATTTTTCTGTCGATAGTTGCACTTGGGTTATGTTTTGTTTTTCTGGTTATTTTAAAATTGAACAATATTTATATAAGTATTGTTTATTTCTTATAATTATTTTATTTCTATAACAAAATGCTTATAACTCTGTTGGTACTTTTACACACATGGCTGTTTTTTGCATAACTGGGTGAAATTATGAATGTGCTAGCGACTCACCCTCGCTCCATTAGGGTTCGTACCTTGGTACGTATTTATGTTTAGTATGTATAGATGTGATATTTTCCCCGCAGTAAAAAGTATCCTATATGTTGACCCGAATAACCAGCTATCATCATACCAAATTTCATTAAAATCTGTCGAATAGTTTTCTCGTGATGCGCTTCCACACAAACAGATAGACTAAAATTCTAAAAACTATAGATTCGGCCTCCGTATCGATAATATTGATAAATATTTAATGTACAGATTCGACCATCAGAATTTTATATGTATAGATTTTTATCATTCTTTTTTTTGGGTTCCGTAGGTACCTCAAAAAGAAAAGAAAAGGAACCCTTATAAGAACACTTCGTTGTCTGCCTGTCTGTCTGTCGAAACCCTTTTTATCAGGAACAGGTGGAGGTATCAAGTTGAAATTAATATTAAATACGCAAGTCTGTAACCGCTTCGTGCTGTCAAAAGTTGAAATGGTACATATTATTTTCAAACTTCTAACCTACTAATAGATGCTGCTGTCCAAGAATTGTGAAAAAACCGCAAGTAAAACCGCGGGCGAAAAGTAGTTTACAGTAAAAATACTACCTATTTAGTAATTTTAACAAACGTGTGTAATTTCATACAACTGCATTGTTTCCGATGCGTGTAGAATTAATAAAAGGTGTTCAAATGATAAGAATGCAAGGTTGTCTTGTTGATTGTTATTGGATTCATTGTTATATGAAAATTTAAATAAATTGTAATTGCGAAAGTGTGTATGTGCGTTTGTTTGGTTGTAACTTCTATCTAAACCGGCTGGATGGATTTGGATGACTTTTTTTCATTTTTTGAAAAAAAAATCTATCCCTAGGGGGGAAAATAGCTAATGATGAATTTAATCTACAACTAAGTGTCATATTGACTTGAAACTTTGCAAGTGTTTCTATTTCCGTTGATAGTGCAATAGTTTGGTATGGTTGACCTGATCTGATGGTAAGGCCAGAAGGTGGATAGGTGGAACTCTTCAACGGCTAATAGTAGATACTTGGAGTTGGGCTTATTTTGTTTGATTTGACAAACCCAATACGTTAGAATTGGATTTTAGAGCCAAATTTTTTAGTGTTTCTAATAAGAGCGAATTTTAGTTTGTCAGTCCCCATTTAAAAATTGGTATCAATCAAACTTAAATAGCATAGGCGAATATTTTATTAAAATACTTTCTTCTTACTTTGCTACCAATAAAAAGGGAAAAATACAAACTTAACAATAAATAATAAAAACCGACTTCAAAAAAAACACAAACACTAAAAAGTAAAAAATAACTCATGGGTTTTCATTTACTATAATCTATAGATACCTCATCATATATTTTCAAAGTCGATGCCAGCCGATACATATCAAAGCGCACCGATTTCGAAAATATCTGAATAGGTACGTATCTATAGTAAATGAAAACTACCTATCAAGTACTACATATATTACCAATTACTGTTTAGTGTTTTTTTTTAATTTATTTTTTATTTAATACTTTCTTAGATTTACGCGAATATTTGACATTTTAAATAAAACACTCTTTTCGGATTTTGTCGCGGATTTATTTGGATTTTTGTTTCCCGACGTTTCGAATGATTTACAGCATCCATTTAATTCATATTTTTTTCCAGTAGGTGTTACAAGATGTCGCTGTCTGAGGTGCGGTCTGCGCGCAGCTCGCCCGCGCCGGACGCGTGCCCGGACTGTGACACCGGCGAGTCCGTCACTTCCGACCTGCACAAGGTTTGTTTATTTGTTTATTAAGAAAAAAACATACAGCTTTTATCTATACATATAATAAAATTGTAACCAAGCCGAATCTGTACATTAAATATTTTTTGGAAAATCTTATTGAAATAGACATTATTATCGATACAGAGGCCCAATCTACAGTTTTTAGAATTTTTGTCTGTCTGTTTGTCTTTCTGTCTGTCTGTCTGTCTGTTACGGACTTAATAACATATACATTAGCCAAAACAGTTTTCACAAATAAAAAATAAAACACAATGCAAAGTTAGGTTCAAGAAATGGTATAAAGGATTATATACATATAGGGATTACTGTTATTAATGTGTGCTTGTGTGTGTGTGTGCTTGTGCGTGCGTGCTTGTGTGTGCTTCATAGAAATGATTCAAACGTGAAAAATTGCCTAAACACGGTTCAATTAGTTTTACATCAAATCAAAATTTCAATGAATCAAACGACTAGAAAAATTTGGGGGGAATAAAATATTAAAATTGATTTAATTTTTTCCAGTACCAAGTAGCATGTACATGTAAGCCTGCTTCCGCGCAATATGCATGTGCAGACGATCCCGGACCCCCCGCGCCGGTGAAGACCGACACACCCCCCGCGCTACCCCCACGACCCCCCACGAGTGTACTCGCTGCTACAAATAGACGGAATAATGGTAAGAATATTAGATATTTCTATTACCTATATATATCGTTATGGACCAAATATAACGGGATATAAAAAAAAACTTTAAATATAGAGAATAACATTTTTTTTATTCATTGCATTCAAACAATAATAATCTTACCTTGAGTCGATATTTGATTTAACTAAAAATAAACCAATGTTTCATCGAATTAATAAATAACATCTATAGTAAAGATTATATCTTTAAAAAAATGTATCAATTCATACATATAGACTACATACAGAAAAACAAAAACAAATCTATCCCACGGGAATAGTGCATTTTTCCGGGATAAAAAGTAGCCTATGTTTTATTCTGATGTATGAGTTGTATTATTGTAAAGTTCCATTAAAATCTATTCAGTAGTTTTTACGTGATAGAGTAACAAACATCTACACATCCTCACAAACGTTCGCATTTATCATATTAGTAGGATAGGATTCTAACATCGTAGAACATCAAATTTGACATGAAATTTTGAAATCAGCCAAAATATCTTTCTTACTGTATTAACCTCTGGACAACAAAAAGTGAAAATTAATTTAAAATTGGTTTACAAATTGAAATTTGACAGTTTACACCACAAAAATAGTAGGACCTAAAAATTTTTGCCACTTAAAACAATTATAATAACAACACGAAGTATAAACTATAAAGGTAGTTAAATAATGTAAATCTGACAATAAATATCTTAGTTTTTTACTTTTTTTTTTAAATAAGTTGAAACACAAAAATGGCGAAGATCTCGCCTAATATACAAAAAAAACCGAATACATACCTTCTTTTTGAAATCGGGTAATAAAAAAAAACAATGTTATGGAGATGATTCATGCTCCATCTAACATTCGAGAATCTCTGGATAGGTCTATACTGCATTACTCAGACCCCTCGCATCATTTCAAGGGCCCCCAATAACACTTGTCAACTACGTTGTTATCTAGATAAATAACTAAGCTTTAACTCCATACAAATAAGTTCCAAAATGAAATCTTACGGCTTTCTTTCACTGATTGCGACAAGAGAGGCTACAGGATTATGTTTTATAATGGTATATTTTATCCTTATACTATTTATTGTCTGTGGGTTTGTCCATGTGTCTATAATATAGTTCTTTTTAACGTCCCACTGCTGGGGGCCGAGGGTGATCAGGTCAGTTAGATTGGTTCGATGGCGTTAGAAAGGAGGGTGAGTTGTTAAAAATATCAAATATTATGTATGTTAATCCCTTTTTAACGTCCCACTGCTGGGGGCCGAGGGTGATCAGGTCAGTTAGATTGGTTCGATGGCGTTAGAAAGGAGGGTGAGTTGTTAAAAATATCAAATATTATGTATGTTAATCCCTTTTTAACGTCCCACTGCTGGGGGCCGAGGGTGATCAGGTCAGTTAGATTGGTTCGATGGCGTTAGAAAGGAGGGTGAGTTGTTAAAAATATCAAATATTATGTATGTTAATCCCTTTTTAACATCCCACTGCTGGGCACGGGCCTACTCTTAGTGCGAAGGGGATCAGGCCATAGCCCACCACGCTGGCCAAGTGCGGGCGGACTGAGCATATCTTTTCAAAATTTGCTAGGTTTTCTCACACATGCAGATTCCCTCACGATGTTTTCCTTCGCCGTAAGACAAGTGGTGATCATATTAAATATCATTTTCAGTAAATGATTTGTATATGAAAATGTCAGAAACGTGAGATTTGGGGTTTGCACTTTGAATCAATTTAACTTGGTTTCTTGAATGATAAACATTATAGAATATAGATAGAAGTCTGCTAAAGATTAACACAATGCGTAGCACAAGTTCACGCACAACGAATAAATTGCCTAAGAGTGGAAAAAGCCAAGAAGTGCAAATATAAATATATAATAAATAAATTAAATATTTTTTGGAAAATCTTATGGCAATAGACATTATTATCGATACAGAGGCCGAATCTATAGTTTTTAGAATTTTTGTCTGTTGTCTGTCTGTCTGTTACCGCATCACAGAAAAACCACTGGAGGAATTTTGATGAAATTTGTTGTGGTGATAGCTGGTTATCCGGGTGAACATATAGAATACTTTTTACCGTGGGAAAATATCTCATTTCTAAGAAAAAATAGAAATACTGCAATGCAAGAGTATAGTAATATGTAAAAATTAAGAATTTGGTTTTTGGTCATCTGAACGCGGGCGGAGCCGCGGGCAGTGCTAGTAGTTATATATAGTTTTCCAAAATGTGAACCCATTTTGAACGGAGCCTTTATAGTTTATCTATTTTTTCATTTCATTTCATTTGCGCAAAAAGACAAAGAACAAGATTGTGTACTATTTTATACATAGTTGTAAGTGAAGAATGAAAAATATCGTTTTTTTTCGTCATCTAACATTGTATTTTTAACAAACGATGACGGTAAAAACGACGGTATTATAAGTTTGACATGTCTGTGTGTGTGTCTGTCTGTGGCATCGTAACTCCCGAACGGATGAACCAATTTAGATTTTTTTTGTTTGAGAGTTGAATTAGTCGGGAGTGTTCTTAGCTATGTTTGATGAAAATCGGGCCCAGATTGTCGGTTATTTTTAAATTTTTAATTGAATGAAGATAATTTTAAGTTAGAAAGTCATTATTTCATGTACTTAAAGAATATTGTGCGTTTTGCGACATACAAATGTATATGAACAATGGTGTCATCATTGATAAATGCTTTCCGGTCATCTATTATTAGGTAAGCTAAACTGTGCAAGCGAAATTTCCCTTTGAAAATGAACAGGTGTCCTAAAATATTCCCACAAAATATAAAAATACGATATTATCGATACAAAAAAAATGTAACATCCCTAAATTTTGAATAATACCAAGCAGAGCTACCTGTCTCGATGAATGATTTTACCTCATGTTTCGAGTAAATCGATTTTTTTCATCATACTTTGTTAGAGAAGAATGTCTTTATTGTTATCGACTTTGCGATGTTTGAACCATTGAAATTTGTTTTTGTGGTGTTTCTTTGAACGTAGGATTTATTTTGAAGTTTAATATTTTCTAGGATACTTGGTTAATTCGTTACGCCTTGCTTAGTATAGCGATATAAAGGAAACTAGCGACTCACCCTCGCTGCACTTGTGTTCGTCTCTAGGTACGTTTTAAGGGTTAGTATGGAATATATGTAGTGTTAGTAATAAATTTTAAATAAAACTACAGAGATTCAACAATTCCTCTTTACTTCGATCACTCAACGGAATGCTTTACAAAATGGCAATTACAACTATTTATACATTACTAGCGGACCCGACAGACGTTGTCCTGTCTACACGTCTTTAATTTGAAAATTTCAAACTTTTTTTAATAATTTTTTTGATGAAAATTATTATTCAAATTGTGAATCTAAACCATTCCCAGATCCCCTTGAACACACAAAAAATTTCATCAAAATCGGTCCAGTCGTTTGAGAGAAGTTCAGTGACATACACACTCACAGAAGAATTATATATATAAAGATTTCCCCACCGTTGGGTGTAAGGTGGCGGCATCTGTCTTCTACAGTATAACATTACCCAACGGTGGATGACAATACTTTTAAAATATTAATATTACAAATACAACTAACCGATATCGTTATTAATATTATAAAATTGTAAATAATAAATTATAAATAAATCAATATCAAATTAATATAATAAAATATAAAATGATAACTAACATAAATATGAAGAATCAATATGATCTTTAAATAATAAACATAAATCAATTGAGCAACTATAACTAACAGTAGATAGTCGATCCCTTGCTCTGTGAAAAATCGCCTATCCCTATTAACATTGTCGGATATGCAAATTTGTCATTTTCTTTTTATTTCACTAATCACTCTTAAAAAGTCTCTTCTTTTAGTAGCTGCAACAAAAAAATATTTTTTACGAGTAGTTTTTAAAATAGCCACAAGTAATTTTTGTTAACCTAACTTGTACATTTAAAAAAATATCAACAATTCAATTATTTAATAATAACAAATCTCATCTCACGAGAACCGTACATTTTCCAGGATAACATTTTATTTTATCCAGATCCGCTAATAAAACCGGTCAAGTGCGAGTCGAATTCGACCATTAATAAAACTTTTATTCTATGTATGTAGCAACTTCGATGATCGATTACGAACTTTAAAAAATGTTTCTTGTATTTTTATTTTTTTTATTATTTGTTGTTGTAGCGGCAATAGAAATATATACTATGTGTAAATTTCAACTCTCTATATATAACGGTTCATGAGATACAGCCCTCTGACAGACGGACGGACGGACCAAGAAGGCTCAGTAATAGAGTTCCGTTGCCAACTCTAAAACAGTACATGTACAATGGTACGGAACCGTTCGTGTGCGAATTCGATTCGTACTTGACGATTTTTATTTAAGACTGTTTTAAATGATTCAGAAAGACTGAAGACATGGATTGACTAAGGACATATAAGAAACTCTTGATAGGTACTACAAGTTATATTTCAAGGGTGAGATTTTTTTTTAATAATGGTGGAAATCACTATTAAGGTTTATTTAAAAAAAAAAAACAAATTATTACATCTAAACAATCTAGCTAATCTATATATATAAAAGAAAGTCGTGTTAGTTACTTCGCTTATAACTCAAGAACGGCTGAACCGATTTAGCTGAAAATTGGCAGGGAGGTAGTTTAGAGCCAGGAGAAGGACATAGGATACTTTTTATCCCGTTCGACCGCGTTCCAATTTTTATGATATTTTAATTTTTGGATTTCTCTTAGTCCGGAATAGGTAAGTATTAAAACATATAATTAAAATGTGAGAAAGAAAGATTTTTTCTTTTTATATCTATTTAAAACGTACCTAGCGACGAACCCGAGCGAAGCGAGGGTGAGCCGCTAGTATTAAATATAAGAACATCTATAAACTACGTCTTAAACCTTTACATATTATTCATTACAATAACAAGAATGTGTCGTTCTGTTACTACGAGTATATCTACTTACACAGAATAAACAAATCATTTGTGCTTACCTGTTATATTTGCTCTGCGACTGCGCGAAACGACTCCGTAAATTATAACCTAGTTCACTGTTAGAATTGCATCAAATATGTATTGCTGTCATATTTAGTTAAATAAACACAAAATAAATTATTTTAATTCAAATATAACTAAACTATCGTGCCGTGATGTTTGGTAAAAACGCGAGTTACATTCATAACATAGAATAAAATAGTGTAATTAAATAAAAACATACATTTATACTGTAGATAAATATAAAAATGAATAAAAATAATCAAATAGTAATGAAAATCGTTTCGTTTTAAATAATAAATTTGAATAAATTTTGCGAAATGATAATAGTGTTGTTGTAAAAGGTCATTGTTCGCAGTGTTTGCGTGTTGGTATTGATTTGTATTTTGTAGAAATGGCGCGCATTTTGAAGTGTCATTTTTTATTTAATCTGTTTTAAAAGTTTTGATGTTTTGAAATGATAAATTAAAAAGTTTGTACTTATTTAATATTTTTATTTTAGTTTGTTAAATCGATATATTGAAAAGAAATCTCATTTTTTTATTATAAAACTATTTAATACTAAAATTTAAATTTCAGAGAAATAATAGTAAATAAAACTTATTATATTAATGAAAATAAAGGAAATACTAAAATACTTTGTTTTAGCAAAAATCTTTTTATTATTGTATTGTATTATAAGGAATATATAATTTTTTTTACAAACATTCAAACAATATTATTATTTTTTAAATCCATAGTTACTTTATGTTATGGTAAAAAACAGATGCAAAACGGATAAAATATGAGACAGTAAACAGAGAAAAAAATATATTTGTGTGTTGTTAAAAATTAAAAATGAACGTGCAGTCATGTGAAATGTTACAAGTGTTGCAATACCAAGTGGCGCCGCAACCGCTCGCGTCGGACGCTCCTCAGCATTATGTGCCACCACCACCGTATTTTGGTAATCTATACCTACATATAGTAAAATTGTAACTAAGCCGAATCTGTACATTAAATATTTTTTGGAAAATCTTATTGAAATAGACATTATTATCGATAAAGAGGGCGAATCTATAGTTTTTAGAATTTTCGTCTGTCTGTCTGTGACCGCATCCCGAAAAAATCACTGGACAGATTTTGATGAAATTTTATATGATGATAGCTGGTTATCCGGGTCCACGTATAAGATACTTCTTATTGCGGGGAAATATCTCATCTCTGAGCTGTACGTTAAAACGTAATTAATAATAATAAAACAAATACAAAATTTTAATTGAAGCTTACCACTAAATTAGTGAAAACCGCCTCCAAATTGGTTAAGCCGTTACTGAGATTAGCGTGCTCAAACGCACCCACAAACAGACAAAAGATCTAAAAATCATTGTCTTGGGTTATATTGCATTAATAAAGATCTATTATTAGTTTTTCTCAAATATCTTCCATGTACATTCTAATCATTTACACTTTTGTTATATGTATACTCAGGTCTCAGACTTGCTGGTTTCCTCATGATATTTTTCTACACCGTAAGATCAGTGGTAATATTGTTGAAAATGATTCTTATTTGAAAATATCAGAGGTGCAAGTCCCGGGACTTGAATCCGTTCCACTCGGATTCTCACGCGAGCGCGTTACCACTGAGCTACCACTGCCTTTTCATGCCCCGCTATAATAAAAATAATAATAACCATTCATAAGGACTTAAATCCAAATCTGCACAAACAGACAAAGACACTGAAAAATACTATACCCTCCTTCAGAAATTGTTGGTTAAAAATAAACATATAACAGCAGAAAGGACTCACCTCACGGCCTTTATATTATTACGGTACATGGAATAGGGACGCCCGGGGAACGGGATCCAAGCACACTGAGCATGGGTCAAAATTAGAACTACCATAATTATTATAAATGCTAAAGTTTGTATTTATGTATATGTATATACGTTAGTTACTTCTTTACTCAGAAACGTCTTAACGGATTTGGACGTAATTTAGTACGCAGATAAACAATGAACTGGAGTTAGACATAGACTATAAACATCTAGTGGTGTACCATCGTTTCAGTTGGATATATCGCGTTAAATATATTTATGGAGTAACACATTAGCATCTGGGCACCTTTGCTATGTCGACAAGTTGACGAAAAATCTAAACTTTGTAGTTTTTTTAAAATTGCTGGTAATCTTGTTTCGTGTATTGTATGTCTTCGACTCCATAATACTATGTTTCTTCCTCAATTTGTTCTCATCTTTTAGTTCGCTTTTTACGGCAGCCGGCTTTTAATTATTTTAATTTTGATTATTTCACAGCGTCAGTCGGCTGCAATAATAATCCAACATGTCGCCGGCGGAAATACGCGTGGTGGTGTTGTGGCTGTGGCGCACTGGCCGCCGCGTTAGGCGGTCTGCTGGCTGCCCAACACATCCTTCTGCGCTCGTATACTGCTTCTCCTCATCATCTGGAGACTGTTCCGGCTGCTGTGCCGGCTGCTATGGTGACTGCTTATTATTTTTTAAGGAAAAAGAGGATGAATATGAGTGTATATGGCAAAAGCGATCGAAAAAGGTATAAATGAGTAAAAGGGAGTGGGAAAAAAAATGACATTTGATAGAGATGAATGGAGGAAATGTACTGTGTTCGAGCCACGCAGTTGGAATAAGGACTTGAAGAAGAATTAAAAATACTTTTTTTTAAATTAGGTAGTTGATGACTAGCGTCAGTGATGCCAAGTATAAAAAAAACATTATTTGAATTTTTCATAAAATCGGTTGTTTATGAGTAGAGAAAAAAAATAATTTAATTGTTTTAGTCAGTTTTAATACATTGATTGAGTTATTTATTAAAAGTAAATAGTAAAAGTAATTAAAACTGAATAGTTGAATAATGGTCATACTTTAATATTGAAAAATAAATCGGAAATTAAAAAAAAATGAGACGTAACTTCATGTCTTTTTTAAATTAATTTTCTTGTGGAATTTCTTTTCTTTATCTGTTAGGTAACAATTTTTTTTAATATTATATAACCATTGTTTTTGTTATGTTTATGCATTTCGCTCTGATTAGTCTACGTGAAAGTAGCTATGTTAGAAATCAGTTTGAAGGACAATATTTATATTTTTTATATATATTTTACAGTTGGTGTTGACAGGCTTCTGCATCATGAGTTTGGCTCGGCGACGCAACAGATACAGCTATATGGTAAGAAAAGTATGTCTCGAAACTTCTATTAGGCATGCCAAAAACATTTTTTTTAATGATAACGAGAATTGATAATATAGATAATATAATAAAACTTGCAAAAAAAAACTTAAACGGCATTTGGATATTCTTAATAATTAACGAATTTTAATTAGTTTTTGTCCCTGGTTTTGTCATATGATAAATAAAATTAGCCTACTCGGGACATCTCGTAGTGTGTTGCAAATAATATTATTAGTAAATTAATTGTTATAAACGATTCTGCACTATTAGATAATCTTTTGTTTAACTTTTTATATGAAGGTAGGTAATAATAAAAAAATATGTTTAAGCTTTGAAGTAAAATCATGTGTTTTTTTTAAATTTAGTTGCAAAATATAAAAAAAAATTACATTACAGTCATATTTAGCACACATCGTTTCTTTTACCATACATACTAGTAACCTCACATATATAAAATTGAAGTGTCTGTCTGTCATTTCAAATTAATTTTTCTTAAACATCAAGTACGACGAGTATAGAGGTCGGACGACACGTTTGGCTCAGTTTGTAGTGACCCTACTTATTGCGCCAACGGTCGCGGGTTCAAATCCCGCTGAGGGCATTTATTTGTGTGAAGAGCACGAATACTTGTACTCCAGTCATGGATGGTGTTACATAATAAGTATGTATTTAAAGTTATATATGTGTAGTGTATCAACTATCTGGTACCCATAACACAAGCCTCGTAGCTTACCATGGAACTAGATGGTGCTGTGTGTTAATGTACCAACATATTTATTTATTTAGGGGTTCAAGTGCACCCATTTGCCAACAATATCACACGAGAGCAGCCAGGGGAAACAACTATTAATTATTTTTTATACTCTTTTTCAGATAAAAGTGGTCGGCGCATTTTGCCTTGTTTGCGCTTTAACTTGCGTTTTGGTCACGATAACTACGACTGTTATACATATGAATAAGTGAGTATATATATATACATACTATTATGAAGAGAAAAAATGTTTTTTTTGTATGTTCGTTTGTAATGGATAAACTAAAAATCCGCTGAACCGATTTATATGAAATTTGGTATCAAGATAGTTTGAGATTCTTGTAAGGACATAGGATAGTTTTAATACTGGGATACGTTCTTTAAGTGGGTGAAAATGGGAATCAATAATTTCTCAAGTTAGGGATATAAAACTCATCCTACCTATGTATGTATGTATATGTAATATATTATAGCCTATCTATTCCATACTAGCCGTTAAAACTTTCCTAGGGACGAACCCGAGCGAAGCAAGGGTGCGTTGCTAGTATATTTATATGTATAGAGCTAGCCTTGCTTTTGCTCAGAACAAAACCTTATAAATTAATTTAATAATAAGGTTTTTTTTTGATTCCCTACCCGTGACCATGAGTGCTGTGAAGCACTCGAAATGTGGGAAATAAAAAAAAAAGATTTCCAAAATTGCGTGCTAATGTAAGAATATATAAAACCTCATTTACAGATTGCAGACTCTGAAATTTTGCGAGTATACGAAGCTTACTAGAACATGCACATGCTATTCGCTGCCTCCCGACTTGCAACACAACGGGTCGGACGACGATGGTAATATATCTATCTATACAGATAAATAAAATTGAAGTGTCTGTTTGTAATGATCAAAATAACAGCGTTTTACTAAATGTTTATGTAGTTAATTATATACGGTATTTATGAGAAAAACAATTTTTAAAATTTTTGTCTGTCTGTTTGTTCCGGCTAATCTGCGAAACGGCTGAACCATTTTGAAGGGAATCTCACTGGCAGATAGCTGATGTTATAAGGAGTAACCTTGTTTTTTATTTTAGGAAAAGAATCAGGGTTCCGCGTAAAAAAATAAAACCCATGAAATTGTGAACAAAATCCGTTTACTTATCTATGCAAGAATTATAAAGAGATAAAATGTATACGTTTGTAAGTAGGGCATTACCTCTGAAACAGCTGATGGCAGTCTAAAAATTCTTTCACTAACAGAAAGCTACGTTATTTTTTATATCCACAGAAAATTTATTTTTTATATCCATAAAGATATATTTACTGTCAGAAATCATAATAAGTTTAATTGGAGTTGGAAAAAAACCCATTGAGTTACTTTATTAGCTACTTTTAGGTATATAGGGACGTACTACGACGATAAGTTTCGAGGCAAATAATATATTTTGGTACCTCTAGCGTGTAAGGTTATAGACTCGAAGCTCCTAGGTTCGAGTCCGGGTTGGGCCAAGTTATTTGGATTTTGGCGATAGTACACTCATGTATCTTCCAGGAACAGAGTGCACGTTATGTCTGTACTATAATATTTTCTACAATTGGCTAGTCTAAATGAGATTGGCCGTCATGGCCGACGTTATTCCGGATGGGGGCATATTTAAATTTAATCTCATGTCTTTTCCTAGCAGTTCGCTGTGTATTTGAAGATGTCACGGACTGTGGTGTGGTACATGGTGCCCTCTATTGGTGTCTGAGGGGAGTGTTCGCACTGTCTGTTAGTGCGGTGCTCGTCTGCATCTGTAGCTGCATGCTGGCTTACCAGCTCTTGAGGTTGGTACTCTGCTCATTTGCGACACGACTGTTTAGAAATTATTGTAACGAAAATTGGACACTAAAAGAAAATGCGACACTAAAAAGATAACAAATATATAGGATTAAGCCGGCGAGAGAATGAGATAGAACACATGGCCACGTTGTCATGGTAACTGTTGTTATTATCTGACAAATATATTATATGATATTCTTTCCGTATATGATATTCTATAAATATATGATTATAATATGCCCAATATGCCTTATTTAATTATTGATTTGTTTTAATTTAATTGCGATATTTGCCAAACAACTTTTACTTCAACCGCGCGTAAAGGTTACACGCAGCCATTTTTTTTTATTTTAGCAGTACTTATAGTTTTAAAAAACTAAAAAGCACGCTTTTGTTGAATTTTTTGTTGGGATTTACAAGTAACCATTGAAGAGATCTACTATCCATTTCCTGGTTGCATCCTTTGATTGAAAATTTGATCTACTTCTAATTTCTTCTTGGCAAGTGTTTCTATTTCCGTTTATAGTACAGTGGTTTGGTATGGTTGACCTGATCTGATGGCAAGGCCAGAAGGTGGATAGGTGGAACTCTTCAACGGCTAATAGTAGATACTTTGAGTTTGTTCGATTTGACAAGCCTAAAATTGGACTTTAGAGCTAGATTTTTTAGTGTTACTAATAAAAGCGAATTTCATTTTGTCAGTCTTCATATAAAAATTGGCATCAAACTAACTTATACGGCTTATGCGAATATTTTACTAAAATACTGTCTTGTTCTTTGCTACTACTATATCTACACTAAAAATACAAATATAAAAACTTAAAAAACTGACTTCAAAAAAAAAACAACAAAATAAAGTGTCCGTTCGTGATTGGTTTGCTGTACAACTTTTCTGAGGTATTTTTATTATCCGACTGCGGCGCAGCCCAAAGGAGGGTTATGTGTTCGACCTGTATGTAATATGTATGTATTAGTGATGTAACGAATGTTCGATTTTTCACTTTAGCGAATGCGAATATCCATCTCCAATATTCGAATGCGAATGTTGACTTAATTTTATATACAAATAGTTTATTTAAGTATTTTTGCTTGCTTTGCTTTTTTTGGGTTTATATTTCATTATGTTTAATTGTTAGAAAAATATATATAGTGGAATGGAAAAACATATAATTGAAGCCAACAAGTTTTAAAGGTAAATTATATTTGAACCAAAATTAAGTATTTTGGTTCAAATATAATTTAGAATTTTTTTTTAAAGTTTAATGAAAAACATTCATTGTCAGGTGCTAGCCGATACAAATCACAGCGACTTTGAAAATATCTGATTAGGTATCTATAGTAATGAAAACTACCTATCAAATTATTTTATACTTTTTAGTGTTTTTTTGAAGTCGGTTCTTAGGGTTCCGTGCCCAAAGGATAAAACGGGACACTTTTACTAAACTCCGCTGTCCGTCCGTCCGTCTGTCTGTCTGCCCGTCTGTCACCAGGCTGTATCCCATGAATCGTGATAGACAGTTGAAATTATCACAAATGATTTATTTCATTATTCTTATTATATTATAATGGTACGGAACCCTACGTGTGCGAATGCGCACTTGGCCGTTTTTTTATATATTTTTTTAAGTTTTTATGTTATTAAATATGCAAAATATTTATAAAAAATTAAAACGCTAAAAGTGACTCGCTGAAATAAACGTTTCACGTTAAACCAACTTCGATGTGCTCCGACAGTTGACACAACCCTATACGATTTTTTTTAATTTCCAAGTTTAGATGAATTACTACTACAAAATTAAATTGTCATCATCGCAAGTACTTAATAGAGATAAGTTGTGCTGTTTACAGTATATCATTTGGTTATTTAGTTTAGGAGAAATGATCAAACAAAAAAAACAATATTCTAATCATCATTAGTATAGATTTTCTAATTATCTTCTCAGTTATATGAAATTATAATATTATCACCCGAATTTCATAAATTTACGAATTAGTCTCAGCTTTTGCGAATCTAGTAGCAGTATATTAAATAAAAAATATATACAATAGACACCAACATTAAAACAATACAAAAAACATACACGTCTTTTCATTGATATATAATCAAACAAAAAAACATAACGAATTATTGTTTCATAAATATCGATTTTAATTTTTTATTGAGCGAAGTCAACGCAATCTGTTGTATATGGAGTCTATTTTCCAATAACTTTACACTATGTTTCAAATCTGCCACTTCTGATTTTACGGTAACATAATCCATCACATCTGGTACTTCATATGCCATTCTAACTTTCTTCACACCATCTAATTTCTGAGCTAAATTATCAGCTTGAACTTGTATCGTTTCTCTTTCTTTATCCAACTCAATGGTTTGTTTGTGCTTATCTTTGATAGATTTAATGATGTTGCTTAAATACGCGTTTTGTTCCATCAAAGCCTTTTTATGTATTGTCAGATTCAGGTTAGCATCTCCTGTCATCTTCTTCAATTCGCCTAACTGTTGTAATTTGTAATCTATTATCTCTAAGCATTCTCTATTCTCGATTTTTAACTTCTCGAAATCAACTGCTTGTAAACTCTCACTCAATTCTGCCTTCACTTTTATTTGGCCTTTTAGTTTGCTATATTGAGTATTTAAAGTACTTGTTCTAAGTCGTAATTTGCCTATCTGACTATCGCAGATCTTAACCCACTCTGTCATGAAACGTATCCAGATTTCTGCTGGAATCCTTTGGGCTATTTTGTCCCAACCTTCGACCACAACTTCTTGTTCGAAGAACTCGCTCGCCTTTTTTATCTCTACTTCCCTTATGCCAATTTCTTCTAGCTGAGCCTTGAGAAGTGCTTGTTTTTTTTCTGCTTTTTTTCGATTCTTTTCCAAACTGCTGATCAAGGCTTCCATTTCTATTGACACTAATTCCGAACGTTCTAGTACATTAATTCTTGGCCCGGATCCGAAAATGATAGTCCCACTAACTTTACCTGATGAGTCAAATCGTCTTGATGACACCTTTGAAGGACTTGTGAATAATCTCGATGGGCTCAATAGAGTCTCCATTCCAAACTTGGACGCTTGAGATTTGACGAAACTGCTGACGTTCAGTGATGAAGAACTTTGAAGTCTAATAACGTATTCTAAGGCTTGTTGAATCCCATGCATTAAAGACGGTTCTAGTCTCATAATAGTTCGCTCGATAATCTCATTTTCAAGAGATAATACACGGATTTGTTGTTTCAAATCGTTTATTTGTTTTACGAGTTCTTCATCAGATAGTTCTTCTAAGTCACTTGTGAAATGGCAAGATGAGGGCGAATGTTGACTGACACTGCTTCTGTGAGCTTGCGACATTTCTAAATAAATACTGTACAAATATATTAGTAAATTATCTAAAACCTTCTTCCAATACTGACAACTGTCTAGTGCTTACATTTTGACAATGACTATATGCATCAAATCTCACATATGGTCTTTGTGTATCATAGAATAAGGTCCATTTTAGCAAATACATTTTCTATGATAGTTAGCTCTATTAACAATTTGGTTGCTATAGTGATCTGGAAATAGATTTTCGTGTCAATGCCACTTTGAAAGGTTAAAAATAACCCGACCTCTTAACCTTATTAACGTAACGAGGATATTTTCGCCTTTCGAGTATCTTAAAATGTTTAGAACGATGTTTATTTTTACGCAAATTGTACGTGTAATAGAAGTGATACCTGATTTTTTTATGTTTTTTATTTTATTGAAGTAGCATTTACTACAGTTTGACCAGCATTGTTTATTTATGTATGGTACCTGGGCAAACGAGTTTCGCTCGCAGTTTTTGGCCAAAAGTATAATTTTCCTTTTTTAAAGAAAACTAAAAACTAGAATAAATAAAAAAAGTAAAAACTTTGTATCCGACCGGGACTCGAACCCAGACACCTGTGATTGTCATCTTGCGCCTTGGCCGCTTGGCGACGATGCTTATGCCCGAGCGTGCGAAATTAGCGACTATATTTTACGTGCAATAATGCGAATGAAAACCGCATGAAAACTCGAAAACACACGGTTTTACAGACATAAGACTAATCTAGATCGATTTTTCTCCCCCGAAAACTCGATTCCGAGATCGCCGGTATATATAAATATACAGTTTAATATAGAATTACTTCACTTCCAATGGAGCGCGATATTAGATAGTCTATAAATGGGGTGTAAAGTGCATTTTATTTTTAATCTTACCAGTTTTTCCAAAGAAATTGTACAAACAAACCAAAAAACAAACAATCTTCAAATTTTCAATATTAAGTTTCATTCACCAGTCATTCTCAAATCTGACGCTTTTTTTACTATCGTATCGTCGTAGTCGTATCGACGTATCTTAATAATTTAATGCAATAATTTTTGAATTTGAATGAGTATTAATATAGTGACCGATCGAATATTCGGTTTTGGTTTCGGACAGTTCCGGGCAAAAATTCTAGTTTCGGACGAAAGCGAAACTGAGACCAAGGCCCAAAGTTTGGTTTCGGTTTCGGTTGCACATCCTGTTTTAATATAATAATAATGTGATAGAAATAAATGACACTATAATAATAAGTCATTTATTTATTTCCAGCCACGAACGTAAGAAGATGTATTGGGAGCAATTGGAACTGCGATGTAGGTCTCTTTACCGGCCTCCGAGCGGACAGCCCGCGCCCACTACAGGCAGACCAGTGCAGGTATATATCTACAATATCTATACATATAATAAAACTGTAGAGGTCGAATGTATGACCATAAAAAAACGAGTCAGGGGGATGTAAGAAGAGAAATAGAACAAATCCAGATTTTTTTCAATTTTTTTGTTACTCTTGTCTGTTTGTCTGTTTCTACGGGATAATCTCTTGTAAAACAGAAACTGTTTGACCGATTTAAATGAAATTTTGCATGGTGGTACCTTATATCCCCGGTCAACATTTTAGATACTTTTCATCCCGGTAAATTAAAGTGTTCCCGTGGGATAGTTAAAAAACTACAGTAACTTATACAGATATGACACAACAACTTATGCATCCAATTTAGTAAAATTTCGCATACCTTATATTGCCGGTCAAACAACAGGTTACTTTTTATCCCGAAAAATGAACAGTTCCCGTGGGATAGATCTGTGTGTGTTTTCCTAGAGACGACCCCGAGCAAAGCGAGGGTGAGCCGCTAGTATTTACTTATGAATAACTAGTGACAGATTGTCCCTAGATGTCCGTTGTATTTGATGATGATGTCCTCTGAAGCAATTTCGGCGACGGCGACCAATCTCACTGAAACTAATACTCAAATTCCGATGTGACGATAATTCGACACGACCGGTGAAAGCAACTTGACAAGTGCTTTCCATTACACGAAGGACACACTGCCAACTTCCCAACTCCGGACTGTTACTAAAATTTGCTTAACAGAAAGACTCATTAACTAAACTTACTACTTTGACACATTTGGCTCAATTCATAGTGACCCTACTTGCTGTGCCAGCGGTCGCGGGTTCGAGACCCGCTGGAAGCATTCATTTGTGTGATGAGCACGAATGCTTGTACTCCAGTCATGGGTGTATATATTTATAGTACGTGTGTATTTAAAGTTATATATGTGTAGTGTATCAACTATCTGGTACCCATAACACAGGCCTCGTAGCTTACCATGGAACTAGATGGTGTTGTGTGTTAATGTACCAACATATTTACTTATTTATTTATCTGGTGTTCCAATTTTAATCTAAATCCGTTCAGCCGTTTAAGCGTAATAGAGTAACAAACATATTATTCCACAACAACAGAACAGCTACAGTTGCTGTGCACAGTGTCACACTACACAGCCAGCCTGGGACTTCAGTCTGCAGCATCGGTTTTGGGCCCCTGGTGAGTCAGTTAGTCCCATATAGTCAGTTAGTCATTTGGCTTTTACCTAACTGACTAACTGACTATGTAATGTAATTTAAACAATTTAAGTCTAAAATTTAAAATATATTATTTAATAAAGCTTATTACACCGTCACGGAATACTTCGTAGATGTCAATGTGTGGGACTAATATCTGGTTGGGTCTCACGTAGGATAAGTAGATGTATTGTATTGCAATATTGTAAACTAATATTATTTTAAAAGAGCAACAGTTTCTCTTGGGCTCTTCTTAGCAGAACTGTATTCTGAGCCGGTGGTAGATACCTCACGGACTTACTGGCATTTAATTTAAATTTAAAATGTAAAATTTGACGATTCAAAAGAGCTTGTAAAAGTCTATTTCAATAAAGTAGGATTTGATTTGATTAAATCTTTGAAGAGAAAAAACACAGGGATTAACAGATAATGTACCTAGGAGGTGGATAGTGGACGTCTGTAAAAGCCATTTATTTAGAGTTTGCGTTCATTTGGTTTGTTTTGACGAGTAATCTGTATAATTGTGTAAAGCATGTTCTTCATTTTCTTTTTTATTATGTGTAATTTAAAAATATATATACTTTTTAATAAATTACAGCAACAAAAGATTTTTTATTAATCACATATTGCTATTAAACACATATTTCCAGGTCGTATAGGTAACCTGTACTCTCCAAATCCTGGGACAAGCAGGAAGACGTCACCCTGGAGTTGGTTCCCGTGGCCGCGGGGAAACAGCCAGAAGTGAGTAGTTTATTCTATGCTGCAACGGATATCCGGCAACTATCCGGTATCCGGGATATCCAGTCTAATATTGTTATCCGGATACCGGATAGTATCGCAATATTCGGTCGTTTCCTTAGTAAAAGTGCAAGAAAAAATATTGGTGAAAGAGTAGCGGTGAAAGGCACATTTTGTGTGGGCACTACTTCGACTTTCAATCAGCCTATCGCCGTCCACTGTTGACTGGACAGCTTCCACCCGTTGTTCCACCGTTCTTACGTCATCAGTCTATCGTGTTCAAGACGTCCTACACTACGTTTACCTAAACGAGGTGGAACTTCATACATGTGACTGAGCGATGAAAAAAATGAAATGGAGTTTAAGTCCAAATAAGGGTGTTGGGTATTTCTAAATAGGACTTTAAAATTCAGATCGATGTTTCTTAATGATTTTTTTGTACAACCCGATAGAGTTCCAGAACTCTAAAAATCGTATGCATGGTATAGGTACTCCACTATCATTAGTTAATTACAAAATTAAAATGTTTGAATTTTAAAGATAATAAAAATTCTACGTTTCAAAAGGGTAAAATGCCCCATAATTTTTATTTACTATAAAACATAAAATTTTATTTAATAATGATAGTGATTGCTGTAAAGTGTAAAGCATTCTAAATGTCGGGAACCGAAAATCTAAATAAATCCGAAAATATCCGACAAGTTTTATTATACTTTACATTTTAAATGTCAAATATTCGCGTAAATCTAAGAAAGTATTATGATTTGAAAGTGCTTGTAAAAGTTTATTTAAATAAAATATATTTTGATTTGGATTACAGCAGTGGCAGGATATAATGTTTGTTTTTGAAATAAAATAATATTTTTATAATTTTTTTCAGTTCCCGATGCAGAATGAGTGGGGTGCCACAATCTGGGGATAGCGCGTACGGTTTTTGCGAAACCGACCAAAACCCAAACCCAAACCAAGCTTACGAGGAACGCTCTTACCCAACCAACTTTAACCAATTCCAACGTCAAAACCCACCAAACTTCCAAACCTCCCCAACTTTTCCCCAAAACCCAACAAATTTCCCACCGAATTCTGCCAATTTTCCCCAAAATGTGGCGAGTTTTAGCCAAGGGCAATACCCTGCTAATTTTGGACAAGGAACCAGTTTTGGTCCAGCTTTTCAAGAAGGGTTTGGGGAAGCTAGTGGCAGCTTTGATGCCCAGACAGGGGTGTGGGGTCCACCACCCCCGTACAGCCCACAAGGAAGAAATGGCAGTCGGTAAGTAACATATCATAAAGTTTATTAATAAAAATCCCTTTTGGTGCATAATTGAAAAATATAATTTTGCTATTGCATTGTTTTTTTTTTAAATATTTAACTTCAATTAAGTTTTTTATTAATTTTAAAATATATAATAATTTTTTTAAATATTTAAGGGATATAAAAAAATATCGTATAACATAAAGATATCTATCGAATTTCAACCTGTAAAAAAATAAGTAAAAATTAAGGAAATATATATTTCCATATATTAATATATTTTAGTTTATCTGAGTAACGTAATTTTTGCAACCACAAATATGGTATACAATGTACATAACTGTCATGTAATAAAATAAAATAGTATAAGCTTAATATATTAAATTATACTTTATTTTAGTCATCATCTTCATCAAGACCCGGCTGCGGCCACATTACTTCACCATCACCACATCGATCACCGAAATCCCATACAACACGAGACAATGCCACACGCGTGTTCCAGAAACTTCCACATGCAGAACATTCCAGAAATGAATCGGATGAATCCGGAAACGAGTAGGATGAACACAGAAATGACACGAATAAATCCGGAAATGGCTCGGATAAATCCAGAACTGGCGCGTATGAATCCGGAAATGACACGGATGAATCCAGATATAGCTCGGATGAATCCAGATTTGAATCACATTTATCCGAACGATCCGATTCAAGAGGTCAATTTAGAGAGATTTAACACTTTAAGAGGTCATTTAGTGCCGTATAGAGGGTGTCCGAGGTTAGGAATGAGTTCTGGAAACGTCCATAGAGATTGTAGAGAGGATATTACTATAGAATGTTTGCATCAAAAGTCTGCTAGTAAAGGTTAGTTTTTTACATTTTTTTTATTATCTTTATGTGCTTAAATTAAAGCTCTTTTTATTTTGGAAGTATTCTAGAAAGATTGCTTTTAGAATATTTTTGTTATTTTTTTTATGTTTTTGTGACGTTATTGAAGACGAGTTTCAATATAATTAGAAAATTTTTCTTTAGTCTCTTTAATATTATTTAAAGTCATAACATTATTTTTAAAATGCTTTTTTTTTAATTAACTGAATACTAAATGTCATCCAATTCCGTCCAGCCGTTTCTGCGTCAAGACGTAACAACCACATTTACATACACACATACATTAGCTTTTATAAAAATACTGTAATAAGTTTGAATAGATTTTGTATTTTTCTCCTTTAGTTTCAGACCAAAGCAGTGATTCCTGTCAAAAATTGGGAAAAGAAAATTTGGGTTTCCAGAATGACAAGCATTCGCCTGTGAGGTGAGTCCCTTTTACTGTTATATATGTATTTATTTTTAACCGACTATTTCAGAAGGAGGGTAGTGTTTTTTCAGTGTGTTTGTCTATTTCTGCAGATTTGAATTCAATTATACATAGTTTTTTTTATTATAGCGGTGTTATTGAAAAAGCAGTGGTAGCCCAGTGGTAACGCGCTCGCTTGGGAAACCAAGTGAAGCGGGTTCAAATCCCGGGTCTCGCACCGCTGATATTTTCATATGCGAATCATTTCCAACATTTTTATTTCCGAAATTAAGAAAAAAATTAATGTTCTTTAGTTTAAATTAATATATCTTCAACTAGCAGAACCCGTGACTTCGCTCGCGTTTAATTTCCAAAACAACTTTTCGGCTTTATGTTATACGCATATTTATATAATATAATATGTATCATTAATAGCTTCTTCAGCGCACGCCAAATAATGAATTTTATAGGTAAAATTTTGCTACTTTGGGTTATATTAAAGTAATATATTTAAGGATATCTAATTTTTTTTAAATAAATTATAGCCTATGTTACTTCTTGATAATTTAGCTTTTTTTTGGTGAAAAACTTATTAAAATCGGTCCAGTAGTTTCGAAGCGTATTTGATGACAAACAAACAAACAAACATAGAAACAAAAAATCTTTCCTCTTTATAATATTAGTATAGATTATGAAGCTATTATTATTTGTACAGATCATCAATGCAAGAGTGTCAACGGTCGAACCAAAACGCGGAATCCGAGGTGTATTTTGCTGATGTGTCGAGCTGCTGTAACGTGAGTGTTCAGGTATTTCTATTGTCCCTAATCATGGCTGAAGTAGACATTATTCAAATTCAAATTTTTCAAATTCAAATTCAAAATATTTTATTCAGCATTCAATTATTACAATTTTTTACTGAACGTAGTGAGTCTACTACCAGTTCGGAAAGAAGTCCTGAGAAGAACTGGCGAAAGAAATTATAGTATTTTTACCATAGCATGGTGCGACACCTGTCAGTACCATATGAATTGGGAAGGGACAGCGTCCAATCAATATTATCGATAAAGATTTTCATAGTGAAGCCTCTTAACAAAAAATGTTTTTATGTCGTTAATACCAAACACATGTTTTACTTTAACAAAAAAATATATATAATATTCTCTCCAGATCCAATTTGTGACAAAAAAAAAGAGATAAACAATATAATATGACTGCATCAGTTAAATAGAATAAAACACATACATAACAAACATGTAGATATATATAAAACAGACGAAATTTCAAATAACTATTTCTTACGATTTTCTTAATTAATATCTTGTTATAAAAAATAATATAAAAATAAAAATCAATATCCTTCGCAGGCCGATTGTTGCATCAACGCCAACGTATCAGCACTAGTGGGAACAATCGAGAACCATCCAGAATCGACATCGGAATCGGATACTTCGTTTACATTAACACGCCAACAGCGTCCTCAACCACAAGTCGGCTCAAAAAGACGTCCAAAACACACAGACAAACATACGAAAACAGACAAAATAAGAGATTTCAACAATTCAGTCCGATTAACTGAACAGCAAATAGAACAGTTGAATAATTCTATGAGAATCGAAAGGATGACCGAAGTCAGGATGAGTGATAGAATCAACGATTCTAGATGCGATCGGATGAATGAATTGCGCGAATCAAGAATCAATGATTCTCGTGATAGATTAAATGATTCTAGAGTCGATAGGATCAGTGAGAGGGAACGCTTGAATGATACGGATCGAATGAACGATTCTAGAGATCGATTGAACGATCGTCTGAACGATCCCAGAATTGACCGAATGAATGATCGAACGAACGATAGGATCGAACGACTGAACGATGCTAGAGTAGAGCGTATATCAGACAGATTCGATGATAGAAGGATGTCAGAATTGAATTCCAGCATAAGAATTGAGGGTAGTCCGAAAATGCGTTCACACATAAGCCCTTTGAGGATGCCCAGAACGAGTCCTAAGAATTTAAATAAAGAAAACCCAAGGCAGTCCAGCTCGGACTCAAAGGTTGACTTTTTTCCTCCTCCAACTAATCTATCACCTCTCTCGCCCAATACAGAAGAGTCGCTACTATCAGACGATGATAGGAATGTTAAGCCAGAAACAGTGTACTCGAACGAGCCCGAGGTGTCGAAATGCTTAGGTCCCGACTTGCAATACGAAACTGTCAAGAAGGACGACATTTTGAAAACGAATCATCATCATTGCTATAGCGATACTAATACTATGGATTCTGGATGGCAAAGTGGATCGGAGAAACAGGTCACAGATTGAGAATGCTCATTCAGAAGCGCTATATTGCTAGTCTGTTAGAGGGAGACGAAGTTATTGTTTCTATCTCTTTCTTTACTATGAGATGATTTCGTTTTCATCTCTTAGGAGACTAGTGATAAAGTAATATAACATGTTGTATGGTTTTTAAATTCATATATACGAGTATGTATATGATAAATAGCTTTCGTAAGAGTTGTCTTTGGTGTGTGAGAGTGAGACAGATCATTATTTCTATCTCTTTCTCAACTAAAGGTAAAAGGTAGTGTTAGTTCAGAGGTAATGCGCTCGCTTGGTAAACCGAGTGAAGCGGGTTCAAATCCCGGGTCTCGCACTTCTGATATTTTCACATGCGAATTATATTCCAACATGATCTCCAGTTATCTTACAGTGAAGGAAAACATCGTGAGGAAACCTGCATGTCTGAGAGAAGCTAGCAAGTTGTCTGCAGACATGCTCAGTCCGCCCGCACTTGGTGCGTGGTGGGCTATGGCCTGATCCCCTTCGTATTGAAGGGAGGCCCACTTTTAACATCCCACCCCCAGCAGTGGGATGTTAAAAAGGGCTGAATACATCTCATATGTATAAGTTACGAGTACTGCGTTATAAAAGAGAAGTAAATAGAAAGTGAGGGAAAGAGATGCATAATATATCAACTCTTGAAAAGAACAACATCGTAACTCAGCATTAAGATAATTATTTAAGTATAAAAAATAATTTCTTCATACATATATTTAAAATCTATATTCTCTGGAAATAAAAACGTAAATATTACATTGTTTAATTTTTATTATTCTTGACATATTGTGTATGTATATTGTATATGTAATTGGAAGTTTTATTTTTTTATAAAATTAGATAAAACATTGACAATGCAGAAGTTTCCTTATGTTGTTTAATATTATATTTAACGCAATGAAATTATAATATACATCAAAACTAATAAATCAGAGAAAACATTTTTGAAATCTACCAATAAATGACTTAGAAATTAATATGTCGGTCGTCCAGGTCGTGTGACGTCACGAAGTTACTCTTGCAAGCGCAACTTTAGTCTCATAACTTTTTCATTTGTTCAGATATTTTAACAATTCTTTCATATTTTTGTTATATTGTGCTTATTTTTTTATAATTAATACAAAGAAAGAAACTTCTTCATTGTTAGAAAATGTTTTGAATATTTTGAAAAAAAAACTATTTTTTTTCTATAATTCTAATTAGCGAGCTTTTGATACTGTGGTATTTTTCAATTATACTACGGAACTAAGTACGATAAACAAAAAAATACTATGACATTACATTAAAAATTGGTTTGTTGTATTTTTCGTAATTTTTTTTGTTGATCGTACCCAAATAAATTAAAAAAAACCAACTTTAAATAAACTTGCTCTTTGAAATGCCTGTGTAAATAGTTTTAAATATTTCTAGTTATAGTCAAAACGATAAGTTTTTGAATATAATCGATTGACCTGTTTGGAATGTAAAGTAAAAACAATATATTTTGACTTATACTTACTTTTTTAGGATAACTATTGCTCTCTAAAAAAAACAAAGGAATTGAAATTCTAAAATACTCAATAATTCTAACATTTTACTAAATATTTTCTTAGTTAATTGGCGTAGTGGGTATTTCAAAGGAAAAACAAATTGTACGCCCAAGTGTGAAAGAGACAGCGGATATTTTTGATAGGTGCGAAAGAGACGACACGATCGTGATACTGACACAAAGTATTACAGGGCTGTAATAAAAGCATCTAATTAAGTATATTTATGACAATATTTTTAAATGTTTCTTTTTTTAATTCATTATTAGAATTAACGGCAAAAGACGTTTTTTTAACAAATTATTTCATTTTTTTTCAATAGGAGGACATATTTACTATTATTTGTTAAATTTCATTGAATCTGTAAACGGTATTAAGCCTTAAAGCGATTCTCAGTGATATTTTACCTTTTGATAACTCTTGAAAATTATAATTTAAAAAAAAGTTACACTGGCTTCAAAATTCAAATGATGTAATTACTACAGTTTTAGGGGAGGATTTTTTAATCGAATATGGGACCATCTTCGTAGTATAACCGTTATAATCATCAACTTTAAAAACACATAACAAGTACAAAAAAAAACATAACGAATTGAATATCCTCTTTTAAGAAGTCGGTCTAACCTTAAAAGATACTAAACAGGTGTTTCTTATATATTTCTGTCAACTAAGCCATTGTACCTTATTCAAAATATCTTAGATGTTTAGTAATCAATAAGAGATATGTTGATTTAGAGCCACTTGCATCAAATTCTTAATTTTTTAAAGTTAATTAAATTATTATTATTAACAAAAAAAACTTATAAAATTTTTTTTAATGGCTGACCTGATAGACGTTGTTGTGGAAAAATTTCTGTGCCTTGAGTTTATAAAAAAACCTATAAAAATACTTTCAGATTTTTCTGACGTTTCTAATTTCCTGGAAAAGTTTCCAATTTTCCTCCTAAAATTCTTGTTCAGATTATTACGAACTTTATATGCTATTTTACTCCTTTATATATCGAGTTGCAATATTTTTTTAATTTTTATAACATTATAGCCCGCATAGGAGTCAATATAACTTAATTCCACATATTTCCATCAACAACAAACTCTTGAACAGAGTAATATGCTTTACTCAGTAATATATTTTAAATTTTCGTTTTAAAATTGTTGAAATGGTAAATGATAAATCTATGACTATATGAATATATATCTATTTGCTTTGACGAGCACGTCTGTATTTAAAGGTATATATATATATATATGTATGTAGTGTATCAACTATCTGGTATCCATAACACAAGCCTCGTACCTTACCATGGAACTAAATAGTGTTGTGTGTTAATGCACCAACATATTTATTTATTATTATTTATGTATTTAAGAGTTTTGAAATAAATAAAGAATTTTGATTCCAGTGGCTCTAAGTCCAAAATAATGTAAAATTAAAATTTCCAAGACATTCTTTCAGTTCAATTCAATTATATTTAGGAATTGTGATTAAAGTTTTTTAATGTATTTGTTCAATTTTAACGATTTTTTGTCGTAACTATTTTCCTGTCGATTTTGATGTAACTTTATATGTAATGTAGATTTTTCAACAAATTTTAAATTATACTGTGTAAGAAAATATCGATGATGCATTAATTTGGACGAGTTTTGTTTTTTTTTTATTCTCGACTCTTCCAAAGTTAACACGTTAACAAAAATTTCATTATAGTAATATAGAATCGTGTGCCAAGTAGTTTGTTAGAAAGTCGTTTTGCGTGGACTAAATTGAATAAATAAACTGTACGGTTATTATTATATTTAATTCAGTATCGATAATTCATTCGAATTTATAAAATCGGAATCGGTTTAATCGATGTGTCATTGAATGGAATGAGTAGTCGGTTCGTTGTATTCGATTTACATGTCTTTAATGAAATTTGCTCGATTTTTATATTGTTTTTAATATCTTGCCCAAAATTGTTCGAAATTTCTTCCATTGAAGCAATATATTTTGTAAATAATACTACTTTTAAGCTTTTAGCGGTTCGTTAGTTGTGTATTTAGTATCAGTTCTAATGTATCTACTATACGTATAGATATAGAAGAAGAATATTCCAATAAAATGTCTGTCTGTCTGACGAAATAATTTTATTGGAAAATTTTTACTTGTTTACTTCAGTAGTTATTTTAAGCAATAAATTTGTTATTAGATATATATTCATAATTGGTTTGAACTGTTTCGAAAATTTTAAATAGACTATTTTTTCGGTTTTTTCCGAGGTTTTTTTACTTTTTTGCTAAATAAACCCACGAATGAATCCAAAAAAAAAGTTTTATTTAAAATGTTAGATATTCACGTAAATATAAGAAATTATTATGTTTCTAAAATATTACTATTTAAATTTTCAAATTAAAAAGTTCCTTCTTTTACGCACAATTCTAAAAAATTTAATTAAAAATAAATAAGTATGAATTTTATTATAATTTTAAGGCGCCATCGGCTTTCACCACTCTCCGAGCTTTACATTTTAGTTTAGTTTTCTAGCAGTTTTTTTATCGTAAAGTCTGTCCCGTTGAGTTAAACATTTAAAGCATGAGTTGAATTATTTCACTCGACACAAAAATATCATTTTTTCTAAAAACTTATTTTTTGTTATTTTTATTTTTGTAGATCTAAAAATATCGAACAAAAGTGAATAAAATAGTAGATAAAACGTTTAAAACAGGTAAATCCAAGTAAGATTCATCAAAATTTTAAATATAACTATCTTTTCGGATTTTTTCGCGAATTTATTTTGAGTTTTGGTTCCCGACTTGAATCATGGTCACGATGGTGGAGAGAATGTGGTTTTCGACGTCTCAAAGGCGCTTTATACTTGTTACAGGCAGTGCCTCTTCTTCGCGTAAATCTAAATATGATTCATCAAAGTTGCCTTCAAACCCTCGTTTTTTGTAACCTATGGCGTCTTAAAACTTATGCCACTGTAATTATATAGAGTTGTTTAAACATTTAGTTTTAAAATCGTACCAATAAATTTATTTTTAAAAATTAAGAAAATTCAATTCGAACAAAGGTTTTGTACATTTTTATGCAATAAACATTAAATTTAATTTTAAACGAAGCAAATACTTGTTTCTTGTTGTGTAACTTGAATTTAGAAATAATCATTTTTACTGTCCATATATTTGACTTATACCTATATTTGAAAGATTTTTTGTAATTATTCGATAATTAACTAAGGTTTAAAGTATTTTTGAAACTCAGTACATTTTAGATAATTAATTTATCATTTAATTCAATAGTTGTATACAAAATTTAAAATATATAAAAGAGTAAAATGAGTAATTCATGAATTAAAATGTTGCCACTATAAATATTCCTTATAGTTAAATATAAAATGCTTATAAAAAAAGAATGATAAATTATTTATCTATGGTGAACTTTTAACTAAACATGTCTGTCCAATTTTATATTTAGGAATTGAGATTAAAGTTTTTTATTGTATTTTTTCTTCTTGTAAACTTCAGTGTTAGTTTTTGATTAGTAATGGTTCTATTAAAAGACTGAAATCTTCAATTTGTTTTATTTTTTTATATCTGAACGTGAAACGTGGTGTTTCATCAGAGGCCTCATTTACCACAGATACTAATAGACAAATGTTGGACCAGATATTCCATCTCATAAAAAAAGTTAGATATTGCTTATATAAGCGATATCAAAAACAATGTGCAATTAAATTTAAAATAATCAGACAAGTGTAAGTCTAACTTACTCCTTCGGTTCTGTAGCATAAATATTAAATAAGTTATATTTATATATGATGATGTTCTCCTAGCCGATTCTGGCCACGGCGGCCAATCTCATTGAGACTAGCCAACTGCGCAGGAGATATTATAGTGCACAAGAGTACGCGCAGACACAACGTGCACTCTCTATTCCTGTCACTCTCATACTCCAGTGGGACGACCACTCGACACGACCGGTGAGAGTTAAGGCGCAGGACCGACGGCTTTACGTGCTCTCCGAGGCACTGGGTCTGGGAGGACCACCCTTGTCCTTATCACTTAGGGGTATGGAAAATAGATAGTAGCCGATTCTCAGACCTACTGAATACGCATATAAAATTTGGTAAAAATCGGTAAAGCCGTTTCGGAGGAGTACGGTAACTAACATTGTGACATGGAAATTTTATATATTTGAAGATGTCAACGGGAAGTACGCTACAGGTTTTGATTCCCTTGTGAGTGTCAAAATATGCGGCAAGTTTGATTTTTTGATAGCTCCAAGAGCTTCTAAACAACCGTATACAGTATCATCTGAATACAAAATACATACTTCGGGCACATTTTCAGATTTTTTAATCAACAGAAAAAATACACACTATAATAAATATGTTGGTAAATTAACACACAGCACCTTCTATTTCCATGGTAAGCTACGAGGCTTGTGTTATGGATACCAGATAGTTGATACACTACACATGTATCACTTTAAAAGGTACCTAATTAAAAATATTTCGTATTGACAGAGTCAATTTTCTTTTTTTTTTAATTATCATAATTTAGACAAATAAAAATACTAGGTATTTCATATTCTAAATAATGTCTTAAGTTAAAAAAACAAATAAAACTACATTGAATTTGGAGGTTTAATTTTTTAATATGCTTAAAATTATTACGTATAGTTATTTTCACAAAAGTGATTGTTACTGAAGCACCATGGAGTTAGAGCTGTTTATTGCTTACATAAAAAAATCATCTTAATAAAAAAAAAAACTGTCACAAAATATCTATATCACGTCAAATCAAAAAAAAAAGTACATTTAGTTATATTCTAAAATACAATATTGTTAAAAACACCGGAATTCAAGTCCAAAAAATGTTTCTTTTACGAAAGATTTTTTTTTGTGTTAATATTTTATATAATCTTATGGTTATTGGTAAAGTAGCGGAGTGAGAATATAAAAATGGTAGAGTTATTAACACTGTCTATTTCTTACACAACATATTATTAAAGACTAGTAAACTTAAATGCGTTAGCATTATTGGCGCCAAAAAAGAAAAATATTCAAAATGGCAGTTGCTGTCAAATATGACAAACCAAGTAATGAATCTATAGAAAAATATCGATTTTTAATTAAACGGTGCGTTTTTATTTTTGATTAATTAAATTTAGTTTATTTTATTTTGTTCTTGGGGACTCTTAATCGTCTAAGTACGCCATTTTATTTAACTTTTTCGGCAAATTCTAAGTTAGGAAGTTACTTAAAATTAGATTATTCATCACTTTCACTTAATCGCTACAAAATGTTACTTTAAAATGGAATGTGTTCAAATTTTCGTTACTTTAATAAAAAAAGATGCACGAAATTTCATAAAAAAAGTATTTAATACGAGAAAAAAAACCCAAAAAAAAAGTTTTTTTGAGTATTGACATTTTGGAATGTACCTATGGTTAACCTTATATTATAAACCCTTCACATTCACACATCGGTCTATTAATCCCATTGTGATTAATTGAACAAAATTAATATACAGCTAATAAGTAACAGACAACTGTATGTATGTACGTTGGCGAAGTTTCCCTTAGTTTCGTAATATACTAGTTTACTGTCCTGGGTTTGCTGCACTGTTGCGGGTGTACCGTCTGTGTCGCCGAGTAGTTGATTTCCCACATTTAAATTTTTCGGAAGGGTTAAAACGTATTCTGTAAAAAAATAATTAAATTAAGACCATAATTTAAATATTATTACAAAAAATGTCAAAGTTAAAAATGATTGCATGATTTTGCTGTTTATGCTATTATTCTCGATTTTTCCATACAGATTGTTTATATTGTTTGAAGAATAAGATTTATTTATTAGAATTATTCATCGTGATTTACAATTTGTGAGAAGAAAATATGAATAATGAAAGAATACTATGTATTCTTTTGTATTTTTAAGTACTAGTTCTTCCGCTTGAAAGAGAGATATCGTAATATTAGCTTAAAATAAGCTTAAACAATATTTATTTTTCTTTATTACTTTATAATCTGTTAGATTATTACTCAACTGAGGCGAAGCCTAAAGGAGGGTTATGTGTTTGAACTGTATGTACATATGTATGTAATGAATGTATGTATTTCCAACCTTATGTTGTAATTACTAAATAGCTTAACCGATCTCGATAATTCATATGTCGTTTGTTCGTCCTAATAACGCGAGTGTCAATGGGTATATATATATATATACATATATTATTGATCATTAAAAATCATCTAATATCGATACGGTCTCTATAAAACGTTGTTATTTAAATAATTCGGTAAGAATTTATGACAAAGTTGTTGGTTAGATGCTTCCATATCTAGTAATTAATAGTGAATAAATTAACCAACTTGGTCTGCTATTAGATCTCAAAACTGAGAAGAATTGCGTTGCCAGACTTGCGCTTTTTTTACATGTTATATTTTTCATGGGTCTATATTAATCCTTAGTCTAAACTACATACATTGTGATTAGTTGGAGTAGCGAGTGATAGAAAACTCTTTGTAACAACCAACAATGTGTGGAATTATAAAACTTTACACGTTAAAACAATAATACATTGTAAGATAAAACAATCCATAACGGATAGAATGTGCAGAATACTCGTAATATTTCAACTTGGTTATCATTATTCCACGTGCACATAATTATTATTTAACTAGCGATTCACTCTTACTTTGCTTGGGTTCCCCTAGGTACTTTTTAACTCTCAGTATAGAATAGATAAACTATATATATATATATATATATATATATATATATATATATATATATATATACATATACATATACATATGTAGGTATAATGAGTTTTATATGCCAAATGATTGATTCCACATACAAATATCCACCCCCCTTTTCACCCTCTTAAGGGATGATTCGTTTGACAAGGTCTAAAATTATCTACATACTAAATTTCATTTAAATCATTTTAGCGGATTACGCGTAAAAAGATAAAAGACAGACAGACAGAGTTACTTTCGTATTTATAATATTACTATGGATTTGCATAATAACAATTTTTTTTATAAATATAAATATGGGTTAAGCTGTATTGGTTTAAGGACTTTTTTATGGAAATTCGGTGAATTAACGTAATTTTTATTATTATATTATTAGGAATGTTACACTAAACAATATTTGATATAAGTCAATGGTAGCTCACGTAATGGCCGTCATATCCTGGATCGCACCTTTGATATTTTCATATACGAATTATTTCCAAAATGATTACCACTTGTCTTACGGTGAAGGAAAACATCGTGAGGAAACCTGCATGTCTGAGAGAATCTAGCAAGTTGTCTGCAAACATGCTCAGTCCGCCCGCACTTGGCCCGCGTGGGGGACTATGGCCTGATCCCCTTCGCACTAAGAGTAGGCCGGTGCCCAGCAGTGGGATGTTAAAAATGATGATGATGAATATACATAATATTTGATATTATTAACAACTCACCCTCCTTTCTAACGCCATCGAGCCAGTCTACCTTGATGATGGTAGTGAGGGATACCTCGTACACTCTGTTTGCGTCTGCGGCAGAGGGCAACGAGCGACGCCGCCGACCGTACGCCGTCACGCCGTTATTGCACTGTACCTGTTGTGGCAACAAAGTACTTGTTAAAATTTATGATAGCACATTAGATAATCATAATAACTAGTGTAGGTGGGGTAGATACTGTCTGTAACAACCTTAGCCTCTCCCGTGACCGTCATTGCTGCAAAGCATTCGAAACGTCGGGAACCAAAAATAAAAACAAATCCGCGAAAATATCGGAAAAAATGGTTTTATTTAAGAAAATAACCTATAAAGCTTTACTATATAATCAAGTGTACACGTTCAAATACACAACACGTTGCTAGGCAACAAAAAAAAAAGAGAAGGCGGTAGACGAGGGCGTTGTATTTACTTTAGTGTCATGAAATATAGGCGTCAGAAAAGGGTTAAATGTGAAAGGTTGTGGTATATTCTAGAATCTAGAACATGGGAGTTGTTGAAATTTTTTAAAACTAAAAGCATTTAATATTCTTCTTTTTATTAAAGAAATACATAAAATAGTTATTTAAAAATGTTAATCGGTTTACTTATTTGTATCTGTTACAGTTTACTAAAGTATCTACCACAGATTTGAAACTTTGAATTATGCCTATATAACATTGCTGCTGAAACCTTTAGCCCATGGTGTCGAAGCTAAACACTTCTCTCACACAAAAGTCACGAAACACAAACACAAGAAATCTAAAATTATAGATTTGAAAAACCCACAACACAATAATCTAGTCATTGATTATCTACTACCTTGCAGATTCCAGATGACGCTGCAGCATCAGACCAAGGTTACCATATCATTGCAATGTCATTAAAGTTACGAAAGAATACATCTGTGGAAGTTGTGCATATCCTTTTACCGTCTATAAAATAGCTTATAGTCTGCAAATAAAGCCTAGCTTTTCAAACAGAGATAAAAACAAAATCGTAATCGGTTCATCCGTTTGAGAGCTACGATGCCACAGATAGACACACAGAAACTCACCCCTTGACATTTATCCAAGCAGACGGTGACAGTGCCTTTAAATTGCACGTACGTGGTGTCTGGGAACTTGAAAGCTCTAAACTTCGCTGTTAAGTTCTTTCCGTCCGATGTTAGGAAGTTGTCAAACAGATACGGATCCACTGAACACCTGCAATGGTTTTTTTAATTAAACACAAATAGATTTAAATAATATTATTTAAATATTTTATTTATTTATTGTATTAATATTTTATTTATAAGGTAAAAATGGAAATTCAGTCCAAAATTGGAGAGGATATCGCATATCATACATACGCACCAGCAAATATTACGAACAGTACCTTTTTCTTTTCAATCAATCAAATATTCAGACTCTTTCGCTATTCTCAGTAGATTTTTTTATAAATACCAATGTGTCACATTACTATAATAATGAAAAGAGTTTGTATGTGCGTTTGTTTGTTATTCCATCACGCTGGATCGATTTGGATGAAATTTTGTATAGACTGTCACCTGGAGTAACACATTAAACCTAGTTAGTAATAAAATTAGCAAAAAAACCACTGATCATTTGCCAAAAGAACACATCTACATACATATATATATATATATATATATATATATATATATATATATATATATATATATATGTAATATATATATATACATATGTATAAAGAAACTAGCCACTCACCCTCGCTTCGCTCGGGTTCTTCCCTAGATACGTTTTAACGGTTAGTATGGAATAGACTATTTTTCTATATTATGTACATACGTACATATATGTTACGTACGTAGGTATAGAAAATAAAAAATATAAACCTACACCCCCCGTTTTCACCCCTTTAAAGGATAATTTCCGGGATAAAAACTATCCAATATCCTTCCCAGGGCCTCAAACCATCTCCATACCAAAATTCATCTAAATCGGCTCAGCGGAGTAAGCGTGAAAAGGTAACAGACTTGTGTTATGGATACCAGATAGTTGATACGCTACACATATATAAAGTTTAAATACATACATATTATAAATATAAACATCCATGACTGGAGTACAAACATTTGTGCTCATCACACAATGAATGCCCCCAGCGGGATCCGAACCCGCGACCGGTGGCACAGCAAGTAGGGTCACTACACACTGAGCGAACGTGTCGTCAATGAATGTTCATATATTACTTACCCGTTGAAAATAATTGTCTCCTGCTGCTTTCCGGTGTCGGTGACATGCATGTAGTTCACGAGCAGACCGTACACGGACTTCGACGATTCATCTAGAAATATCTCCATCGATAGTGGAGTGCCCGGGCTCACTGATATTTCACCTGACACCCTATAGTCAAGTCAAATTTGTTTTATTAGTTGTCAAATTAGCACATTTTTATGTGCGAACTAGCATTGCCCGCGGCTCCGCCCGCGTTCAGATGACCAAAAAAACCAAATTCTTAGGTTTTACATATTAGTATACTCTTACATTGCAGTTTTTGTATTTTTTCTCAGAAATGAGATATTTTCTCGCGGTAAAAAGTATCCTATATGTTGACCCGGATAACCAGCTATCATCATACCAAATTTCATCAAAATCTGTCCAGTGGTTTTTTCGTGATGCGATAACAGACAGACAGACAAAAATTCTAAAAAACTATAGATTCCGACTCTGTATCGATAATAATATCTATTTCAATTAGATTTTCCAAAAAATATTTAATGTACAGATTCGACTTAGTTACAATTTTATTATATGTATAGATTTAGATTAGAAATGAAGTGAAAACAAAACATACTGCTTTCCGTTCTGCTTGACGACCGCGCCCAGGATGGGGTCGGCGGCGTGGCCTTCCATGTACCTCGTGATGTTCAAAACACTGAAAGACATACATATTCCTTAGTTTTATTAAATAAATAAAATAATCATTTAGAATTTTCTTACGGTTTTTTTTTGTCGCAGTAGAAACATCTTAGAACATTCGAAAAAGTTTTTAATTTTCCCATTTTAGTATTTTAATAAAATATTCGCTTTAGCCGTATAAGTTATTTTGTAACTAAACTAAAAAAAAAGAATGTCCTTTTTTACATTAAAAAAAATCTAATCCAATATCCAAAATGTTATACAACTTGTTGGCTTCAATTATATGTTTTTCCATTCCACAATATATTTTTTTCTAACAATTAAGGATAATGAAATATAATCTCAAAGAAAAAAACTATAATGAATACTTAACTAAGCTATTTGTAAATAAATATAAGTCAATCAACATTCGCATACGCTTTCGCATTTGTGTGCTTTGATTTGCATCGGCTGGCACCGACTTCGAAAATATCTGATTAGGTATCTATTCTAAATGAACACTACCAATCAGTTATTTTTTACTTTTTAGTGTTTTTTTTTGAAGTCGGTTTTTATTTTTTTCTTAAAAACCTTTTATTTTAGCATTTTTAGTGCAGACACAGTTGTATTTTAATAAAATATTCGCTTGAGCTTAAGTTAGTTTGACGCCAATTTTTATATGAAGACTGAAAAACTAAAATTCGCTTTTATGAGTAACACCAAAAATCAGGCTCTAAAATCTAATTCTAAAGTATTGGGCTTGTCAAATCACACAAAATATCTAATATTAGCCGTTGAGGAGTTCCACCTATCCACCTTCTGGTCTTCTTACCATAAGACCAGCTCGACGATACCAAATCACTGTACTATCAACGGCAATAGAAACACTTGCAAAGTGTCAAGGCAATATGATAATTAGAAGTAGGTATTGTCATTAGCTATTTTTCCACTCGTAGGGGTGGTTTTTTTTCAAATTTAAACGGAAACCAAATTAGAAGTCATATACAATTTTAAACGAAACAAAAATTGTCCAAATCGGTTAATAAATAGCGGAGTTCTGAGATAATACACATAAAAAAAACATCGAATTGAGAACTTCCTCCTTATTGAAGTGGGTTCAAAATCGATATTGTAATCGTCGATTATTAAGCACAATAATCGTAATCGCTAAGTGATAATCGTTTCATCACTCGTCAAAACGGTGATTGTATAAAAGTTATAGAAGGTTGTTTAACAAATTCATCTTGAGATAAATAAGAAAAAATGTCGTTCCAATAACAGATGGCTTGGATCAAATCGCCCCCCTCTCCGAACTCGTTAAAAGACGTTATAAATTGATTAATACCCTGCTGATTTTCATAGTTTTTATTATTGAAAATATATATAATTTAATGGGCACATCATCCTACAAATAAAATGGCAGGATTCCTTGGTCCTACGCTCGGATACTGTTTCTCTCTCACTCTTTACTCTATAAACTAATTATTTAATTTGTGCAAACTTACTCAGGCTCGTTGAAGTCCAAGGGGAAGGGTTCCACAGCCCGCCTGGCGATCGCCCGCGTCTTGCCGGTCACCATGCATCGCACGATCACAACCTCCCTTCCACCAGACGTATCTTCTATCACGATTTTATGGTAGTAAGTACGTCTTCCCTGAAAATAAATTATTTATTTATTTGTTCGTTCGTTCGTTCACTCGCTCACTAAATTACTCACTCACTCATTCACTCATTCATCCACCCGTCACGTCGAGTTACGAGAGACACGTCTTCCTAAGGATCAATGTTGAGGCTGTTCAGGAGGCGTACGTCCGGTAGTCTCATCCAACAGCCCAGTTTTAGCGCATCCAAACTCCTTTCCATAGATCCTTTTAGTTTTCATGCCATCTTTGGGCAATTCCGTATGGGTTAGTCAGAGATGGATCCCTGCTGATCCGTCATATTAAACAAACTTGAATCTCTAGGGACTTCTACGTGTTGGACCTGTGTCTCTACGCAAGACGTCCTTAAGAAATCCAAAGAGATAACAATAAAAATGAATACTGTATTTGCACACCACACAAGAAATACTTAAAAAACAAATATATATAAAAAAGTGTGCATGTGTGCAAGTCGCACACGGTAGAAGTGAAACTCCAGAAAAATAATCTGCGAGAGAATGAGATGAACATTTATAGAGTATCAGGAATAGGACAATCATTGTAAGGTTTATTTTTTTTATAATATTTTCACCAAGTTTAAAAATTATTTTACATTTTCTTTAAACATATTATATTACATATTATTCATTTATTATTTTTCACTTGCTGTATAATGTATTCTGTCTCATTCTCTCGCAGGCTTAATCCTATATATTTATGTGTTTGTCTCTTTGTCGTGACGCATTTTCGTTACATCGAGTTGCAAATCATAATGATTCTAAAGAAGATTCACTTCAATAGTATGTAAAACCGCAGGTAAAGGTTTGTATGTGATTGCACAAAAGGAAATAGTCCAATCCAGTAACAATTTTTCGTTGGCGTCAAAAGAAAAGGTAACGGGAAATGCGCAAAAACTGTCATCCAGATCTTCCACTCCTTATATGTACGATAGAATTGTCGTCTTTCCGATATCTGTATACATTTAGTTACATATAAATTTGAACTTTATTACCATACAGTATGGTCTCAAATACAACTTTTTGTATATCTTTGTTTGAGAACACGTATCTCAACAAACTTCCTTAAGATGCTCAAAGTGTAAGAAATATTGACTAGTTCTTTAACTAGCGTTTGTTCCAAAGGAGTTTATTTTGTATATACGTACGTATATGTATGTATGTACCTCTGTCATTATCTATTGAACTAAAGAAAGTTTGTTTGTATGTATGTTAATTCTTCAGGTTGAAACAGCTGGATGGTTGGCGCAGACTTTGAAAATATCTGATTAGGTATCTAGAGTGAATGAAAACTACTAATCAGTTAATTTTTATTCTTGAATGTTTCGAAGTCCGGTTTTATTTTTTTTGTCAAATATTAACGTAAATCTAAGAAAGTATTAATAACTACTAGAATTACTTTGTACATGAACAAGGCAACCATTTATCTACCAAATATTCATAATATTTAGTTTAACGACCCTGTGGAAGGATAGTGGATAGAAACCTAAGAATTTGGTTTTTGGTCATCAGAACGCGGGTGGAGCCGCGGGCAATGCTAGTGTTAATACATAATAATGTTAAATAAAATGTAAAATAACTTTAAAACTTGGTATAAATATTATAAAAAACAAAAACCCTTACAATTATCCTATGCATACGTTGTGGTCAGAGCACCTGTCTGTCCTTACACCACAAGCGGCAGGATCTTTTACAGTAGATATCAAAACATCTCCCTAACACAATAATAACAAAAAAATCTATGTACAATATCACTTCATGTATGTTATATCGGTGAATCTATTTGTTGCTTCCTATAATAGTCCATCTGTGTTTCTGCGTGAAGGAGAAACAAATATACATACATACAAATTTTCTCATATATATATATATATATATATATATATATATATATATATATATATATATATATATATGTAAGTAGAAGCGCAATTTCTTACTGTGTGTGTGTTGAGGACTCGCATAACTGCGCACTTCTGGTAGTCAAGTAGATCTAACATGTATGTAGCCATGTTGCCTTCTATCGTCGGCTCGCAGGGTGTGTAGTCTGAAACAATTATACAATAGTAATCTATATATATATGTATATATATATATATATATATATATATATGATAACAATGAAAGAACCTTGTGTCTGTACATTATTTACATAGCAAAAATGTAGTTCCAGGAACTCAGAATATGTTGTAAAAAACCGACCTCCAGAACTTAACACGTACGGATTTGCGACGCAGACACAAGTGAACTCTCTATTCCAGTCACTCTCATATTCCGGTGGGACTGAGACGACAATTTGCCACAAACGGTGAGAGATCGAGCTGATGGCTTTATTTTCCGAAGTACGGTGGTGAAACACCGCCAACAACCCAACTCCAAGGTTACTCAGTCTGACATTTGACAAAAAATAATAACTGATTGGCTTGACCCGGGACTCGAACCCAGGGCCTCTAGATTTGCAGCCGTACATGCTAGCTACTAGACCATCGAGGCGTTTATTTTTATAGTAAATACAGAAGTGATAACAATCAAATACGATAAGGGAATACAATAAGATGATAGATATTTCAAGTCGAGGTGACAATGAGGGACGTTTGAATAACCTACAGTATGGATATAAAAGGTGGCGGCTACTTAAAATTGTAATAGGTTTTATTTTTATTCTTTACTGGCTTTTTACTCCCTCTTTGCTCGGCTGCGTCTCTACTTTTTGTATTTTTAATATTATTTATGTACAAGCACAGGCACCTGTTAACAAATATTGTTACTAATATGAGTCTATGTGTTAATTCAGATCATAGTCTAGGGGGGGAGGGGGGCGGCTTATTACCGTTTGGCAATCCAGCCGGACGTGAAACCAAAAGACACACTGGGAAGTGTGAAGTGCAATGCGTGTTGGTCCACGTACTTCTCTGATACCAGAGTAGACCGTTGGAGAAATCCCACGGTCTATTTGGTCTGCTTCGGCAGACGTAGGGGAGTTGTGGTTGATTGCGTAAGCGATTCTGTGACGCTCCATTAAGATGGAGGTGGTTCTGTTGGGTTTTAGTTTTCAGTACTGGTTTTTCAGGGCCGTGAGCCCCACATAATATAGTAAGTGGTATCTGTAAATGCATTTACCAACATAAAAAAAAACAGTCATATCTGCGTACTAAATTCCATCCAAATCCGTCCAGCCGTTACAGCGTGAGGGTAACAAACATACAAACGAACATACAAACTTTCGTATTAATAATAGCTGCCAATTAAAAACTTTAAATTTGGCGAGAGGCGTCCCTTTCTAAATTTTAACCAAAAGCTAATTAAATAACAAAAAAAATTTAACATATAAATAGATAGCCATCTTAGATGTGACTTATTAATTAAATTGTACATTATGTTTATTTTTTTTTTTTTTTTTTTTTAATGCAAGCACAGTTGATGAGCAAGTATCAATATTTAATTCGCTGTTAACCCAACTGTATGACATCCATGCTCCGGTTCGCCCTGTTCGTATGAAGCATCTTCCGGCTCCGTGGCTTACTCCTGAAATCAAAAAACTCCAAGGAAAAAAATTTGTAGCGAAGTCAAAGTACGTATCTAATCCTAATGATGACAATAAGGCCAAATATATTAAGGCTCGCAATCGTTGCAATATAGTGTGTAGGGATAGTCAACGACGCCATATCTATAAATCTATCATCGAAGAGGATGATCTAAATAAAATGTGGAAGTTTCTCAAATCCCTTGGAGTAGGTAAATCTAAGCAAAATATAAATCCGCACAATATAAATTTAAATCTGATAAATCAGCATTTCTCTTCTTCTACTACTGTTAATAGTACAAATAAATTAAACACACTCAACTATCTTTCAACTTTACCTACTCCTGATTTTCCCCGTTTTTCTTTTAGTCAATTTTCCGAAAGTGATGTTAAGAGAAATATTATGGCAATAAAATCTAATGCGGTTGGGGCAGACTGTATAAGCCGTAAAATGATTCTTCCCGTTCTTGACTATATCGTTCCTATTATTACTACCATTTTAAATTCTTCAATTAATTTCAATCAATTTCCTTCTTCCTGGAAAGATGGGCAAATCTTTCCTCTTCCTAAAATATCTAGTCCATCTTCTTTTTCTGATTATCGTCCTATTTCTATTCTTCCTTTTCTGTCAAAAGTACTCGAACGATTGGTTCACCAGCAATTGAGTGCTTTCCTCTACAAACATAATCTTTTAAATTCCTTTCAATCTGGTTTCCGTCCTAATCATAGTACGACTACGGCTTTAGTCAAAATAACAGATGATATCAGGAAAGGTATGGACCATCAAAGACTTACTGTGATGGTTCTACTAGATTTTAGTAATGCTTTTAATACGGTGGACTTTGACATCTTGCTTGCCATTATATCTTCTCTAAACATATCTCCTGAGGTCGTTGACTGGTTTCGTTCTTACTTGTGCGATCGCCGGCAACGAGTTCGGATTGAAGATTCTTACTCCGATTGGTGCAAAGTTACTGCCGGTGTTCCACAAGGTGGCGTGTTGTCTCCTCTCTTATTTTCAGTTTTTATTAATACTATTTGTCTCCAAATTTCTTCTCACTACCACCTATATGCAGACGATTTGCAAATTTATGCCGTGACATCTGTGGCTGATTTACCACAAACAATAGAAAATATTAACAAAGACCTCTCCTCTATAGCTACATGGGGTAAATCGTACGGCCTTAACTTAAACGCAACGAAATCGCAGGCAATTATTATTGGCAGTCAAAGGATGTTGTCAAAAATTAAAACTATACAAATACCAGAAATATTGCTAGATGGTGTTCAGATTCCTTTTCAGGAAAAAGTTAAAAATCTGGGTTTACTTATTGATCAACACCTGTCATGGGATCCGCAAGTGAGTGAACTGAGCCGGAAGATGTTTGGAGCGATTGCTTCTCTTCGCAGATTGCGAAATTTCCTTCCGATTCCTACCAAAATTGCGCTAGCAAATTCACTCCTACTACCGATTCTTGATTATGCTGACATTTGTTATCTCGACATCAAAGAGGAGCACTTGAATAAACTTGAGCGACTCCAAAATCTTTGTATACGGTTTATTTTCGGCCTTAGAAAATATGACCATGTTTCTCAATTTCGTAAAAAGCTCAAGTGGCTCCCAATCCGATTCCGCAGGAATACTCATATTCTTCATCTTCTCTACTGCGTGCTGTTTAACCCTTCAACTCCTATTTATCTGAAAGAGCGTTTTGAGTTTCTGGATGATTCCCATGCTCGTTCACTTCGCTCTGCTCAAAATTTCCTTCTTAAAATTCCTACTCACTCTTCCTGTTTCTTCACAAATTCTTTTACAGTAAAAGCTGCTCGATTGTGGAATTCTATTCCTTTAAGCATTAGATCTGCTAAAAGCTTAGATAAATTTAAAAAGTTATTAAAAGATTATTATATGTCTCTTTAAGTCTTTCCCTTAGTCCTTTCTCCTAATATCATCGTTATTATTATTTCCTCTATTATGTTCTAGTATCTAATCCTATTTATTTTTTGATTGATTTTTTCTTTTTTATGTGTGTGTGTAAATTTAACGCATATAAGTATGTATGAATGTATGTATGTATATATGTATGTATGTATGTATGTATGTATGTATGTATGTATGTATGTATGTATGTATGTATCTATTTATCTATAAGTATTTATATATAGTAAACGTGTTAAAGCAAGTACACCGCCTACCGTTTTTATGAACATTTACTCCTCCACCTCAAGGTTGCCTGGAAGAGATCGCTTCCAGCGATAAGGCCGCCTGCTGTGCATCTTTTCTTTGTATTGTTTTTTTTATTTTATATTTATTTTGGTGTACAATAAAGAATATTATTATTATTATTATTATGTTTAATGAAAAAGTTTATTACTTCGCTTATACATCTTTACATATAATAAAATTCTGAGTGGAATCTGTACATTAAATATTTTTTTAAATCTTATTGAAATAGACATTATTATCGACACAGAGGCAGAATCTATAGTTTTTGGAATTTTTGTCTGTCTGTTTGTATGTCTGTCTGTGACCGCATCACGGAAAAACCACTGGAGGGATTTTGATGAAATTTGGTATGATAATAGCTGGTTATCCGGGTCAACATATAGGATACTTTTTACTGCGGAAAATATCTCATCTCTGAGAAATCTATACTAAACTTTAAACGTTGTTAAGAACCCGAGCGGAGCGAGGGTGAGTCCCTAGTATTATAATAATAAAAACAACTAATGATAAAACACTATAACAATAAAATATCTTTATGTACGTTTGTGTGTCAGGTGTAAATTATAAAATTATCGTCTAAAATTAACGAGGAAGCTTATTAATTTACATACGATTATTTGCTCGATTGTGAGTGAGAGGATATTTATACAGCTAATAATTTTATGGAAGATAACATCTTAGGAGTGTGCTACTTAAAATATTTTAGTTTATATCTTAACTAGTGACTCACCTTCGCTACACTCGGGTTTCTTCTTATTTACGTTTTAACGTTTAATATAGATTTCTCAGAGATGAGATATTTTCCTGCAGTAAAAAGATCTATCCTGTATGTTGACCCGGATAACCAGCTATCATCATACCAAATTTCATCAAAATCCGTCCAGTGGTTTCCTCGTGGACGGGCAGACAGACAAAAATTCTAAAAACTATGTACCTATTCGGACTCTGTATCGATAATAATGTCTATTTCATTAAGATTTTCCAAAAAATATTTAATGTACAGATTCGACTCAGACTTTTATTATATGTAGAGATTAAAAAAAGTTAAAAAGATATGTTTCTGCTGAGTTTTTTCCGCCAGTTCTTCTAAGAATTAACTCATTTTTCCAAGTTGATGGTAGATTCTAGGTAACAAAACAAATGGACTACTTCTAAGAGTTAGCTAAAAAAGCTGTGCTTAAAAAGTCGATAGATGGCGTTGTACAAACTGTGTACTATTTTTAATAAATCAGTGCCAATAAAATATTTAAAATGCTATAAAAACTTAGTGTCAGCTCAACATAATGGCTGTTTTTCA